CCATGGCGAGGTTCCTGATGCTGGGGGTGAGGGAACCCCGGCAGGTGGGGCAGAGGCTCAGCTTCTGCCTGCATTGGTTGCAGACCAGGTGCCCGGCCTGACACTGCAGGATGGGCGGCAGGACATAGTCGAAGCAGACGGGGCACTCGAAGAGCGAGGTCAGTTCGTGATGTTGCTGCTGCTGCTGTTGCTGCGGCGGGGGAGGAGGAGGAGGAGGAGGTGGAGGAGGAGGAAGAAGAAGACAAGGAGCAGGATGAGGAAGGAGGCTTCCACCTCCTATCAGAGGCTTTTATTTCACCTAATCATTTCTTAAAGGAATATAATATGCAACTGAGAGCACATAAATAAGACAAATACCATCTGTCCCAGCCATGCACAATCAAAGCAAATTGTTGTTTTTACCTTTGTTAAGTTTGTCATAGCATATTCTCTATCCTTGAGATAAAAGCTAAGAGGAGATGGGCCTTGCTTTAATGGAAATGCATTTGATTTGACTGAGCTGCCTAAATAAACCTCAAAGCACAGATATTGGATCATCTGGATTTGGAACCACTCTCTGATGTTTTGTTCAGAAGCAATGAAAAATTGGAGTTAAAAGCCACCACACTGAAAAGTTTAATAGTTAATTCCAAATGTATAATAATGTGGCTTGGTATAGCCTACGGGGCGGGGTGGGGGGATTGGCGCCCGCCAGCGCGGGTGCCCAGCGGGACCGACGGGGGGCAACTGAGGGGACCCCTGCAAACGCCCGGGCGCAGGGCGATGCGATGCTTACGGGGCGGGCTGCAGTGCTAAAAATATGAAAAAGAGCAATAAAAGGTGTTTGGGGCTGTTCTAAAATGTTGTTTAGGATGAGATGCTTTCTTCCTGCCCGTGTTAGGTGTGGGGGAGCGGAGAAGGAAAGCAGTTGGGCTGTTTTCATTCCCCGGGTAAAAGAAGTTTGGGGAAAAAAATGCGGTACTTCAAGCGTCTGTTTCAGTAACGCCGGGGAAGTGAAGGCACTGCAGTCTAGGGACAGAAATCTTCCCAAAGCCCTTTCCTATTACAGCGAGATTGAGGAATAAAGAAGAGTGTACGCTTGTAGGTGGCGGAGTCATCATTAAATGGGCATGTTTGTATTTAGGCTTATTGTTTGATACTCATCTGGCCCCTGTGATGTCATGGCTCTCCTCGCTCTGGGCGCAGATGCAATTCTCGCCCGTTTTTGTACCAAATCCCCCGGTGCCCCCGTGTAGCACATGCAACCAGGGTGGCCAGAAACAGGCTCCCTCCTACAAGGTTATTTCCCCTGTTGGCCAAATGGGCAGGTTTTTCTCACATATATTGTTTTCCCAAGAGTTCTCCTTGGAATTTGGCTCCAAGGCTTCTTGTCCTTAACTGAGCAATATTTTCTTCCAAGTTACCCACACTGAGCATTTTCCACCCTTTGCTAAATCATAGAATCATAGAATGTTTTGGGTTGGAAGGGACCTCTAGAGGTCATCCAGTCCAACCCCCCTGCAGTGAGCAGGGACACCGCTAACTAGATCAGGTTGCTCAGAGCCCTGTCCAACCTGGCCTTGAATGCTTCCAGGGATGGGGCCTCCACCACCTCTCTGGGCAACC